ATGAAACCAGTCTTGGGGAGAAAAGTTGGTGTGTGTATCCAGCCACTGCATCTCTTGGATGCTACATTGTATTAACGTTATAGTCTTTTGGTGGATTAAGTCCCTGTTTGGTTGTACCATGTCACTGCAGCTTCAGGCCAATCTGTCCTCTATTTCAACGCATTCCAAGCCACAGTGACCTGGAATCCATTGCAGTACAGATTGTTCTACTGAAGAACCTATGTGAATCTGCTGTTGCGTCAGTCTGCAAACTGAGTGTCTTTTGGGTTAAGAAATTCTTGGAGACAGCCATAGCATTAGTCAGAGAGAGCACTCTGCGCTATATTTGCTGTGCTGTTGTCCATTCGTGACAGAACCTGCCACTAAAAGTGCATCTTCCTCTGCTCTGTAACTGGAGGAACATGGAACAGTTAGTATAGCTTGTTCAATCTGTAAACTATTTGGGCATTCTATGTATATTCCTCCTCCTCCGTCTCTGATTGATCTCTTGATTGAACCACATGTATAAACTCTAATCCCGCTCTGGTGTGAATACAGTCTGTTGATCTCTCCTTCTGGAAGTAGCTGCTTCGTTGGCTTTATACGACGCTGCGGAACCAACAGGTTTGTACCGTGCTAAAATACAGAGAAGCAGTCGCATCGGACGGCACTTCTTCTTCTTTCGTTCGCATGAAATAAATTATCTATATCTGCAATGCTGTCTCTAGTATGAATTTCACTGTCTTTTGTAATTCACTATGCGGCCCGTAAAGTTTGACTTTCACAAGTGTCTCTTTTGGTCAGAAGTTTTGCCTGGAAGCGTTGAATCTGGGACAGTCTTGGAGGATGTGATCTGTTGTCATAGGTGCCAGTCCACAGGTACACATGGCTGATTGGCAATCTTAAATTTGTTGTACATGTGGCAGCGAAGTCGATTGTGTTCTGTTCTAAGGCGAAGGATAATGACTTGCTCTGGTCTGTCCATAATATGGTAATCGTCTTGTGCCAGTTTCGGTGGCATTCTGATTGATTTGATCATCCTCTTCTTCTGTTGATAAGAGACTGGTATGTCGGGTTGTTCTTCAGTTGCACCTTCCTTAGCTAGTTTATCAGCTCTTTCGTTTCCGGGAACTCCACAGTGGGAAGGTATCCACTGCATCACTAATTTACAGCGGTTGCCTAGTTCGGATATTAGTGTCCGTATGCTTGGTAATTTTCCAGACTGGAGTGTCTGAAGTACCGCTTTTGCATCTGTCAGGAATACCACTGGTTGTGAAAAATACCCTGTATTTTTTCATTTCTCTACCACTATTTTGATGGCTTGAACTTCTGCATCATAGTTGTGACAGTGCTTTCCTGTTGGTATTTTGGCTGTATCCCTAGTATTATAAGGATACTCAATGTACACTCCTGCACCTCCGTTTTTGACTGCACTTTCTGCTGACCCTCTGTGTAAACACGAACCCAAAGATTCTGCGGGTATTCATCATCAAGTAGACTGAGGGTGGCTGTTTTGCGCTGCACACTGTTTTGTTCTTCCTTGTCAAATACTCCTTTCACTTCTGTCTTGATGTGCTTGGAAACTTATGTTCCTCTCTCCAGGGGTCCGTGCTGGGACAGCATTTAAGGATCTATCAGTTGCAGGCAAATCAGTAGTTTGCCTGCAGAGCCGTTTGGCCTGGTGGAGGAAACTACTTCTCTTTAGTCGTCCCAAAGCTAGATTTTGGAATCTTTCATTCACAGGTTGACTCAAACGTTACTCCGAGGTATGTCGGCTCCTTATCCTCTTTCAGGGGTACTCCATTTATGTGCATGACGCCTGATTTTTGTTTTGGAGAGAGGGTGGTGCTGCATTTGCCTTTGTTAAAGCTGACACACCATTTGTCGGCCGATTTTGCCATTGCATCTATGGCTCTTTGTAGCAGTCTGGTGGCCATTTTTGCGTGTTCATTTGTACACCAGAGTACCAAGTCATCAGCATACATTGCAGCTTTAATTCCATGGGGTAGTTCAGAAACTAGGTTATTGATATAGACTAGAAAGAGTGAGGGGGACAGGACACCTCTTTGTTGGACGCCATGGCGCAGCAAAACTTTCTTACTCTTAAGTCCATCTATTTGTACACGGGATCTTCTTTATACAAATATGCTTTCACCCATTTGTACATTCTCCCATTCACCCTGCAGTCTCTCAGTTTCTCCAGTAGACCATCGGACGGCACTGTAATGGAGTAACATGAGCAACGAAATCAAAATGTAATTGAAACAGTTAAGGGCTACCATTTTGAAGACTTGCATTAAACTGGAAAAAACCTATCACACGGCCCCAGAATCACTTCTAGCATTTTATGACTTTGATTTTATGTTCAGTAGCTTGACAATGACAATGAACGGTCAGTTCTCAATACCAAAACTAACACAAGGCGGGCTACTGCGATTCGACCACATCTAGAATCGAACGCAGCACCGCAGAACTACGAAGCACGTTCGCAACATCTAAACCGCATACACCGTCTGGTCTTATACTGCTCAGGAAAAAAACATAAAAACAATTCTGTGTAACGCCTGATCAGAAAAAAAAAAAAAAAAATGAAATCGGTGGCACACAGAATATCAGTTCCTAGAAACCTTTCAACTCCACCTTCTCAGACCAAAACACGATGTCCAGATTAAATGGTCTTCTGGGAGTTCATAAAATGAAAGAGTACATTCCCCTTGAGTCCAATCCACAAATCAGATTGGCACTGTTTTGTCATAATAACGGACGACAACATAATGACGCACTGGAAAATGACACGGGCTTAGTTTTAAATAACCTAGACTTTGACAAACACTTACTCGCCAGTGATTCTGTTAGAGATCACGACGTAGTCTATAAATTTCTATGTGCAAGTTTGTTTCACAGTGAGCCTTATAGGACAGCCAGACTCACGCCGGTCTGCCCAAAGGGTTTTGAGTTCCAGTCCGAACCTGCAGATCGATCCAGCGTGAAGTGGGGAGCAGGTAAAGCCTGGGAAGTAAAGGCGGCCGATGTGATTTTCACCAGACCACTCATCGGTTTGTTAAAAAAAAAATTTCAAAAATCAAAATTGCCCTTTTCCACGTCTTAAGGCGTTTTGGGTATATTGTGAGAGACCTATATTTCTTAGACCAATCGGCCCTCGTTGGGTGATTTGTCAACATCACACCGACCGCCCTTACTTCTTAGGACTTTTTCTGGTATCAGTTTAAGGCTGCGTCGATCTGTGAGTGAAGCTCGTATTTGAAAGGGGCGAAAAGTCAGGCTTCACTCGGATTTGAACTCATTTATAAAACTATGCGTCTAGTATTATACATCCTACGTTTATTTTACTTACAGGACCGCGAGATGTAATGGGAGGGTAAATGAGGGGAATTAGTGTGTTAAAGATCCATTGCAGCTCTCCTTCACATGTGGAGACGGCGCGTGATTTATAGTTTGAGAAGACTGAGAACGGGTTTTTTAAACAGGCACGTCAGCATAGAGAAAACATGAGTGGGGAGGAGGGGGAAAAGAGGAGTTGGGCATCACCCCCCACAACTTTATGGAGTCTAGAAGGAGCTCACGCTGTGATTATAATAATAACAGTATGGAAATCTCAATTTAAAAGGAAATACATCGATGCGAAAAGTTACCACCACCAAGTCACCAGCCATCAGTCCACGCGAGGCCATCCAATGTTTAACACCCATTTTTAAAAACGCCCCAGACGCCATAAACCGGAAGTTGATAAAAACAACACAGACAAGCTCCTAATAGAACGAAGTGGTCGAAGAGGTGAAAGGGAACGTTCTGACAAGCTGCCGACAGACTAGAGTCAATGAATCCTCACTAGAGTGAACATGGGAAGGTTCTTATTACCGGATCTGAGCACAGATAAGAGCTACCAACGAGCTGTCGCGGCAGCCATGTCAAGTCACGTGATCTGTGCAGGAAGCGCATCTTGGGTAACGGAAGTCCATATTCTCTAGTCTTTCCGCTGATTGTGCATGTTCTCAACTCACGTGTAATGATTTTTCTCTATGGCTTTCTTGTAATTTCTTAAACAGGGTTTTTGAGAAGTCTTCCTTTTCTTTCTTTCTTTCTTTCTTTCTTTCTTTCTTTCTTTCTTTCTTTCTTTCTTTCTTTCTTTCTTTCTTTCTTTCTTTCTTTCTTTCTTTCTTTCTTTCTTTCTTTCTTTCTTTCTTTCTTTCTTTCTTTCTTTCTTTTCTTTCTTTCTTTCTTTCTTTCTTTCTTTCTTTCTTTCTTTCTTTCTTTCTTTCTTTCTTTCTTTCTTTTCTTTTTCTTTCTTTCTTTCTTTCTTTTCTTTCTTTCTTTCTTTTCTTTTCTTTCTTTCTTTCTTTCTTTCTTTCTTTCTTTCTTTCTTTCTTTCTTTTCTTCTTTCTTTTCTTTTTTCTTTCTTTTCTTTCTTTCTTTCTTTCTTTCTTTCTTTCTTTCTTTCTTTCTTTCTTTCTTTCTTTCTTTCTTTCATTTTCTGTATCTCTCTTTTCTTTCTTTCTTCCGTTTTTTCTTTCTTTCTTTCGTTTTCTCTCCTTTCTTTCTTTCTTTCTTTTTCTGTATCTCTCTTTTCTTTCTTTCTTCTGTTTCCAGGGGCTGCTGGGGTTGGTTCTGCAACGTCCTGTAAAAGATGCGCAACTAACCTATGTCTAACTAACCATCTGAGATCGAATTATGAAGATACTATCAGACGAATTGTGGGAACGACACCTTGTACTCGGTTCATCGTGTACCAGCGGATCGAGCATTTTTGCCATTTCGTTAAAATGCATCAATATCAAATACCATCACCGCCATTACAGCTCAGAAGGTCAGCTAGAAGAACAAGAGGAAGACCACAAAAACATGGATCGACATCATTAAAGACACTTTACGCTTCACGGCATGACAATAGCTAGTGGCAGCTAGCGTGCCGTGAATCCCAGATTATTCTTCCACACGACGATTAACAACAGGAGTGGTTTGTGATGATAATGATGATGATGATAATGATGATGATCATGATGATGATATCTTTCTCATCCACAGCTATCTGTTGTCTAGAGCCCAGGTTCGCATCTCTACCTTTGCTCAACCAACCTGCCCAAGTCTTCACAGTTCTTCTGATATACCTAAGCCTTCTGCTGATACCGACCGCATCTGTTAACCCCAACACAACATTGGGCTGCCATATCCGACAGTTTGAGCAACACGTGACCAAACCCCCAATGTACACCCGAGAGGGAGCTGTGGTCAGATGTAGTGGACGGGTGGCGGTCAATTCCTGTTGGGGTCGCTGTGATTCTAGTGAGGTGAGTACACTGTACTTGTTGGTACTGGTGAGATACTAGCGAGGTTGGTGTACTGTACTTGTTGGTACTGGTGCGATTCTAGCGAGGTGAGCACGCTGTACTTGTTGGTACTGGGGACATTTTAGTGAGATGAGTACACTGTACTTGTTGGTACTGGTGCGATTCTATCGAGGTGAGTACACTGTACTTGTTGGTACTGGTGCGATTCTAGCGAGGTGAGTACACTGTACTTGTTGGTACTGGTGCGATTCTAGCGAGGTGAGTACACTGTACTTGTTGGTACTGGGGACTTTTTAGTGAGATGAGTACACTGTACTTGTTGGTACTGGTGAGATTCTATCGAGGTGAGTACTCTGTACTTGTTGGTATTGGTGAGATACTAGCGAGGTTGGTACACTGTACTTGTTGGTACTGGTGAGATTCTATCGAGGTGAGTACACTGTACTTGTTGGTACTGGGGAGATTTTAGCGAGGTTAGTACACTGTACTTGCTGGTACTGGTGAGATTCTAGCGAGGTGAGTACTCTGTACTTGCTGGTAATGGTCGAAAATCTAGCGAGGTGAGTACACTGTATTTGTTGGTACTGGTCAAAATTCTAGTGAAGGGAGTATACTGTACATACATACATACATACATACATACATACATACATACATACATACATACATACATACATACATACATACATACATACATACATACATACATACATACATACATATACTACATACATACATACCTACATACATACATACCATACATACATACATACATACATACATACATACATACATACATACATACATACATACATACATACATACATACATACATACATACATACATACATACATACATACATACATACATACATACATACATACATACATACATACATACATACATACATACATACATACATACATACATACATACAACATACATACATACATACATACATACATACATACATACAGACATACATACATACATACATACATACATACATACATACACTACATACATACTACATACACCTACATACATACATACATACATACATACATACATACATACATACATACATACATACATACATACATACATACATACATACATACATACATACATACATACATACATACATACATACATACATACATACATACATACATACATACATACATACATACATACATACATACATACATACATACATACATACATACATACATACATACATACATACATACATACATACATACATACATACATACATACATACATACATACATACATACATACATACATACATACATACATACATACATACATACATACATACATACATACATACATACATACATACATACATACATACATACATACATACATACATACATACATACATACATACATACATACATACATACATACATACATACATACATACATACATACATACATACATACATACATACATACATACATACATACATACATACATACATACATACATACATACATACATACATACATACATACATACATACATACATACATACATACATACATACATACATACATACATACATACATACATCATACATACATACATACATACATACATACATACATACATACATACATACATACATACATACAGACCTACATACATACATACATACATACATACATACATACATACACATCAACATACATACATACATACATACATACATACTACATACATACCCTACATACATACATACATACATACTATACATACATACGTACATACATACATACATACATACATACATACATACATACATACATACATACATACATACATACATACATACATACATACATACATACATACATACATACATACATACATACATACATACATACATACATACATACATACATACATACATACATACATACACTCACACACGCATGCATACATACACCGCAAATAGGACAAAGCCAAAAAAAAAATATGTTCAAGTTTAAAACAAATACTCATAAGGAGATTATTATTAATAGTTTCAAAGACAAATTTCAACAATTTAAACTGTGCTGTTATTCAGTTACAGATTTTCCAGGTTGGGCGTGATTTTTGGAACGGACTATAATGGAATTCTTCTCCGTCTGTCAGAAAACAAATAGTCATTGACACTTAAATACGCTGCTAAAAGGCGTGCATGTGTAAAAAGCTTTTAGCAAACAACGCACCCAAGTGTTTTAGTTATGTGATTGTTCCGTTTAGGGGTGGTTGTGTTTGCAGTTTTGAAATGACTATCTTTCTTTTATGCTTTAAAAAAACAAATGTCTGTGATATTCTCGCAGAACAGAGCTTTTTATGTTGATGACAATTTTTTATGCAAGTATAATCTTTCTCCGAAAAACGGCTTCCCGCCTGCCAAGAGCCTCGACGAAGCACGAACTCCAAAGCTTCAGTGACAATCGGCTATATCTATATATGAAATCTTCTTGTTTCACTGAGTATAAACTCGAACGGAATAGTTCTGGTTGCTTTTCTACTTCTGGACATTGGTCTTGTCCCTGAACCTATATTTTCCACGCACATCTGTTTTACTGAACTGACTTATCTAAATGAAAACTGCTGGTTCCTCACCTCCCAGCTTCAAAGAATTAGTCGACTTTTACAACATACTTGATAGGGGGTAGTGGGTCTATCCTTTCTTTCCTAAAACAGGGTCCATATCCGTAACCCACACGGGAATATATCAGAAATGGCTGACAGTTCATGAGAAAAAGGCTGTGAAATGTGATGAGAAACACGACAGGGGCCATAAAGCGAAGTATCCTTTCTATTACTGCTAACTGCTACCTGTGTCCTTGTGTGTAGAAAGCTGTGAGGGGAAAAAGGGGTGTGGGGGTGGGATGGGTGGGGGAGAATAGACTATCTGCTTCCCTTACATGCTTATCGTTGAGAAAAAAAATTACGCGTAGATTTAGAAAAAACAAAAAAACCTTAAAGCCACAACACAACGTTGCTACAGCCCTGTTAACAGTTAATGAAAAAGACGAAGAAGAAGAAGAAAAAGAAGAAAAAGAAATTAAAAAAAAAAATTAAGATAAGCGGAATAGGTGGGAAGACAGCAGACGTGGAATCAAATGCCGTGGGTGTGCTCTCAAACCACTTTGTCAATCCCTCACGCACGATGCAAAAGTTAAAGAACACACTAGGTTAGGGGGGGGGGGGGGGGGAATGGAGGGGCATTTTAGAGAAAATCTCTGCAGTTTCTTTGTTAGCTTCCAGACGGAAAAGAAATTGTTATTCTAACTCGATTGGTCAACCGTAGAGATACCCCAGAGTGTAATATCCGCCCTAAGATGGATAAAGTAACGTAAGCCGAGCACAAGAACAGAAAATGAGATCTCTTGTTATTCCCATCTCCCTTAATCTGGTTGTGCTTCTAGTGAAATTTTCCGGGATTAACTTCTGTATCCAGGGCAACATGTAAGAGTTGTAGATAATGTAAGCCCGATCGCCGTCTGAGCTTTTTTCGTGACGCATAACACGTTAAAGTATTTGTTGTAAGCTTTCAACATTTCTTCTTCTGCTTTCTTCCTCTTTTTCTTCTTCTTCTTCTTCTTCTTCTTCTTCTTCTTCTTCTTCTTCTTCTTCTTCTTCTTCTTCTTCTTCTTCTTCTTCTTCTTCTTCTTCTTCTTCTTTTTCTTCTTCTTCTTCTTCTTCTTCTTCTCTTCTTCTTCTTCTCTTCTTCTTTTCTTCTGCTTCTTCTTCTTCTTCTTCTTCTTCTTCTTCTTCTTCTTCTTTTTCTTCTTCTTCTTCTTCTTCTTTACAAACAGCAGTAGCAGTAACAGGAACACGAACGTTATATTCTTCTTCTTTCTTCTTCGTCTTTCTTCTTCTTCTTCTTCTTCTTCTTCTTCTTCTTCTTCTTCTTCTTCTTTCTTCTTCTTCTTCTTCTTCTTCTTTTCTTCTTCCTCCTCTTCTTCTTCTCTCTTTATAAGCAGCTAGGAACGTGAACGTTATCTGTTTCCTTCAGGCTTATCATCAATATCATAACAGTTTTCTCTTCCTCTTCACTTGATCCTGTGCCATCATCATCTTCATCATTAGCTCGATCATGATCTTCTCTTCTTCTTCTTGTGGTCTTCTTGTCTTCTCTTCTTCTTCTTCTTCTTCTTCTTATCTTCTTCTTTCTTCTTCTTCTTCTTCTTCTTCTTCTTCTTTTCTTCTTCTTCTTCTTCTTCCTTTCTTCTTCTTTTCTTTCCTCCTCCTCCTCTTTGATCTTCAATAGCGTGAATTTTAAAGGCATTTTTCGATTTGACCTTGTGAACAGCTTGATAGATTCCCTCCTTCTTGTGGTCTGTTGTATCTCAGGTTATCTTTTCTTATATTACCCAGTTTGAGCATTTTCTAAGCAATATAATTCTAGAAATTTAACGAAACCCAATTAACACAAATATTCAGTATAATTATGTAAAGGGTAATAATGAATGTGGCAATAAACACAGGAAGTGGCCAGATACGCTAGTCGACCTAGCAGGAGAAGCTAAACGTGATTTGCCGTGAACCGTTGTAAGGCCTCTGTTCCTGTGTATGGTCTCCTTTTTCCGGATATTGTTAGACGGTGCCACCGGGTCACGCCCTTCTCTTCACTGCTTCGTGTTTTCTACTTCTTGATGTTCTTACTCATCATCACCATCATCATCATCAGGTTCATTGTTGACTCGTCTGGGAGATCATTCCTCTCCTCAGTCTGAGATCTGCAATAACTGTGATTTGTTTACAACCTTCCTTGCCACGACAAAAGACTGTCAGGAATCCTCACCTGTATTTATTTGTTAACGATATTGTCACTGATCACAATACAACATGTCCCAGTTTTCGTTTTCCCATAACTTGCCGAAAATGATGTCTGTCTCCATCGGATGTAAGCAGGCTGCTTTGGTTTTTTTTTAAAAAAATCGTCACGTTTAACCAGCATCTACGAAG